TCTGCGAGCCTGGGGTTATATGAAAGGGCAGACTAGGGCGTACTCTCTAAGCAATGGTTTAGGCTTCGGCTTATTTTTGATGCGCATTTATGCATATATCGTTGTTGTGGCAAATGACAACTGCTGGCAAATGGATACTGCCTGGCCAATTTGACACTGTCTTGTAGCCACCAGAATACCTGCTTGGAGATTAGCTAGTGAGCAGGGACCGGCGTCAGCCATGTGTTGTTGCGTACGTGGATCGTGCGTGTGTGTTGGCGTCAATTTGAGGGAAAAGTGGCAACGGACAGCAGAATGGTGGATGGACAGACGCTATGACAGCACAGGGTAGGTCGTTAGGTTTCATCGGCTAATTGCGATAACACTATATGTGTCTATCAATATGGACACACAGTAGGGCAGAAGCTACATGTACAGTCAGAACTGCACAAAAAGACCACATAAAACCGATAAAATCTGGTCTACGTGGACAGGTGGTCACTATAGACCTGTGTCAATAGGAAAATTGCTGGTGTCTTAAACCCTTCCTTTTGCAATTTGTATCTAGAGCACACGGTGTCCAGAACATACTAGAAACCACTTGTTTGATTCAACAGTTGTTTGAGTGTTTGTGGGAGGGGGGTTCCTTGCGTGTCTTCATCAGTTCTCAGAGAACACTGTAATTAGGTGCAAATGCCCGGGGATCTGACTGCATGTACTTTCACAGTACAGTTGTATCAAACAAGTCGAAGAAAGCTAAACAATATCGAAACTTATGATGGCATACGTCGATGAAGGTTAGACATCCAGGTAATACGATACGCCAAAAAACAGTTACTCAAGCAACTGGATATGATTTTGAATGATATGATTATGATGGAATATATTATGTTTATCATAATGATACAGGTCGAATACCAGGGAACCGATTCCTCGCGGTATCTGTAACACTAAATGTGTTAGTAACGTTTAATGCAGCTTACAATTTATTGTACCAGATCAATTCCAAAGGACCGAATCTGCTGTCGTATTTTTCACTACCGCTAGAGGTCGCATCAAGCCCCAGCATCATTCTCGTTCAAAGAAAATTCCGACAAGCTACATTGGTTCACACGAAGGATTACCTGGAAGAGGCTTCCCTGTAGCCTAAAGATGTGATTTCAAAAGTATATAAGTGTTTTTAATAATATAATAATATAATATCACTGTAAAATTGTACCTAGAACTACTTAAGCACCGTAACCTGTACTGAGCTTGTAAGAGCATTAAAAGCATAAACACACAAGGTAGTACTCTCCAAGCAGAGGTTGTGGGGGAATGATCGTTACCTTTTTATATATGGCCATTTTTTTTGTCCTGATCCCCGTCGGTGGCTAATGGAGCTTCTCTGGCTAATGGATACTGCCTGGCCAATTTGATACTGTCTTTTTTGCCACCGATAGGGATCTGCTTGGAGATTACAAGGTACATGTAGGTCATTCATTCATTCAGTGAAAACCTTCTAAATGCCAAGGCAAAGTCGAAGCGCCCTGCCTCTATAACTCATGTTGGTTCTTTACAAAGTGCCAGACGCCTGCTCCAGTCATGACCTAATTCGCCAGACGCCTAGTAATACCATTTTGTTTCAAAAAGAATACATATGTCAGCGTCTCGTGTTTTCAAACAAACATCGGCCTTACAGTAGTCCGAAAGGGCCGAGACTGAGGCGAGGCGAGGAGACGTGTTTTGTTGGCGAGGTGCATTGCTGCAGATCAGTAACGCGTATTGTTTTAGCCACCGGCGGGTTTCTAATTACCGCGAACTCACAATCACTTAAGATGGACAAACTGTAATGAAATACTGGACTGAGTCCAGGGCTCTAAAACCGACCCAAGTGCCTTCTTGGCGTCAAGAAAGAACAACCCGGTATGTGCACCAGTATTGCGTTCCAAACCTAGCCTCTACCAGGCTTCAAATGCGGCAGTACTGAGTAGAAATTGGCCAACAGGTACAACTAACACATGTACAACAGGGAAATTAGTCCGCTTAATAAGCGGCAAACTGTACTCTTTCAGCGGACTAACTCCCCTGGCATGTTATCCGTCGATTTGACCAATTTCTACTCTTTCTAACCGCTTCTGAAGCATTTAGGGGCTTTAAAGGCTATTGCAATCTCAGGAAATGGCTGGCGGAGCGGTTGTGAGAAAATTGCTTGGCCGAAACCCGCATAATTTGCAGGCCTAGGGGGTGGATGGAACAGGTATGACGTAGATAAAAGTACCCCCATCCCTCCTTAAATCCCAAACCTTCGTGTTGGAACATAAACACGATTGCTCAGGTCTTGACGAGGACCATCTGATCGCAAATACTCCAACATGCAGGTCAGAAGCTTGGTATGCGCGCGTTGGAGTCATGCATGTACGCAGGGCTCGAAATTACCACTGCATATGCAGGTTAATTCGTGCAGATAAAATTGGAGCTGTGCTGGTATTTCTTCAGGTATGTCAGGCACCTAATCTGCACTGGTCCATGTACTATCTATTTATGTAGCCTGTAGGTGTGCGTTAACCTTTATTTGCTGCATTGACTGTTATAACCTCAGAAGTATAAAATGAATAATAATGACGATGGTTTTTCAACAGTTTTAGTATGATCCATACCTTCTAAATTCAGATTAACTTTGTTTGGTGCATGTTATTTTCAATGTTATATGTACCAGTGCGGGTTTGCGCAGAAAAGAGGATTTCGAGCCCTGTATGCACCGCAGATCGCGTTTTTACGTCCAATTAAAACACTGGGGCGTCTCCAAGACGAAAGTCTTCGTTAGAACAGGTATTTGGCAGGCCTGCTGTTGACGTGACCGGCGGGGTCCCGGTCGGCACTGCCGGTAATGTTTACTGTGCACACGGCAGAACAAGCGACGCACAATCCAATACGGGAGTCGCCGTATTTTCTCAGTAACCAGAGACGTCGGACGTCGATTCACGGGCAGGCAAGTTGATTGTTGTCGTAGCCGCATTCCTCCTCATTACGGAACAACGGCGTAACAATGTTTTATTGACACCCGATAACCCCCCCCCCTTTCCCCCCGCCGTCACAACCCCCGTACGGTGTGACATATGGGAGACACCACAAACGGTCTGTCCCCGTTTTCTGGGACAGGGGAGGCGGAGCACTCATTTGGCCCGGACTCTGCAGCACGCTTGTCGTAGCCAGGCGGCGATTCACTCCACTCTAGTCGCTCTCTCTGTAGCTGGCTACTCGTGGAAACTGGTTCAGTCGGCTGCTGGAACGTTTGTGTCATGTCTTAATATAGCCCAGCTTTCACTACTGACAAACTCGGCGCCACACGTAGTGGGGATTCGTTCATGAGCAGTGTTTAGTACTGGTAGTTGCTAGTCCTTGGATGTACGGCGCTGCAGCGAGCGATGAGGAAGTTTTGTGGGGAACATCGTCTTAAGGTTTGTCGGAAGGTGAGTTTTAATTTTTCTCAAGTGGGACAGCGTCGGTGTGGGATAGTGTAATGGGATGGGCACGTGTTGGACCAGGGGAACGCGTGTTGCAAGAAATGGGCCGTACAAAATTCGCTAATGCAGGTACAGCTCGCTCGCGTTTCTTGAACCTCATAACGTTATATTGCTTTTAGGGTGTAGCTCTCAGTACATGTACGAACGTATGTTCTGGACAGTGGTAACCAGTTCTAGCAAGCGTTCTGACCAGTTAGTTCTAGCAGGCGCCCTGTGCTCATGACTTGCACGCGCTTTCCTGTAAATCATTTTGGGACACTGAAGTAAATAATTTTAGGACACTGAAGACCGTTTGGTGGTTGATCTACGTTATGTGACGTCTCTGTCATGTTCTCTCGTTACATATACAAATAGCAGGGATAATGCGGGCGCACACGCCCTTGTCACGGAAGGTGGATCCTCGCCACTTGCCCTGCCTCAGGCTCCCTGCCCTTTCTGACGGGTGGAAGATTTATTCCCAGGCAATATACAGGCTGCTTATCCTTCCCGGAGCCGCGCGTGCATGATGATGAGAGAGATAGGCCGTACCAAATAAGCGACAGGTGAACTGCGCTCGCGTTGATTGGGTGGGTCGTTCCGTCGGAAAGCAGACGACACTTTTCCTCAGCCAATGATTCCCGCCATTTTTTTCATCGACTCGGGTTGGAAGTAACCTGGGTGCCAGATTATTTCCAGGGGCAACACTGTCCAGTTCCTCGGTTCCTGGGCCAAAATGCCAAAAAGAAAATTATACCACAACCCCGCTCAGTTAGGCCCTGATCTACACCCTGCCTAGTAACTCTGGGCCTGGCGTGCTGTGGGTCTGGCACCCAGGCTAGCAAGTAAGACACTCACTGGAACCTCCTGTTTAATAACAGTGAGAGTTCTTCGGGGTGAATCGGGCGTGTAGAAGGTGGTTCACCCTGTTCTGGCTCGCTGTGCCCATAGGAACGTTTATCCGTGCTTGACGTCACGTTAATGCCACACTTTGCCGTCAGGTGTTCCCGTGAGGCTCCACCGCGCGCGAGTCCCTCCCAGCAATCGGCGGCTGTAGCTCTACTAGCAGCCTCGGGGCGCACACTTCAGCTAGCCCTGCGGGAGGAGATACGCGTTTCCAGAGAGCCGAATGTAAACGAACCAAGGTCGCCGGCCTGGGAGAGACGTGTTGGTTTACCTTCCTACACATCTGCGAAGGCAGGGCCCCGAGGCAGAGGCGAGGGCGTGCATGTACGGTACGGGACAGAGCGCGTTCGGTTTGGCTAGCTAGAGTAGGCAAGTCGTCTCCTGTGGCAGATAGCTATAGAAAGAAGAGGATCAATCACTACTGAAGTCGTTCGTTTTGGTGTTCAGAACACGGTGGTGACGACTGCAGGTAGTAAAACAAACGTGGGAATAAGGAGTAAGATTTTCACGAGGAATGTGAACAGGAAGAGTACGCCCGGTTTTACGTGCTAGTGCTGGCGAAATGCCCCCTGTAGCAGCTATGGAAAGAGATTATTAATCTCTCACTGAAAAGTCGTGCGTTTTGATTTTCAGGAGGCGCTGAAGGATTAAAGCAGCCCCGGTGGTGACGACTGCAGCTGGTGAAACAAAACGTGGGAATACGGGGTGAGATTTTCGTGAGGAATGCGCCAGGGAATCTGCGTGTTACGATCGGTGGATGGTACATGTAACGTTACGACCGTGTCTTGTGTGAACCGGGGATGGTACCGTACCGGATAGCGCCGTGACACGGGAACGTTCGGATATCGCCTAGTCTGACCACAAACGGAAGTTACTTCATTCGGCCTCCAGGACATCTAGAGTGAAGACACTACCTGGACAGCGAGAATGAGGTGAGATCTGTTTTTTGTGGCTTGCTGATATTACAAACGTACTGAGGCGCCTTGCTAATTAGGTAAATAATGGGTATTACAAGCAATGTAAGCTCATTATGTCAACTGCAGGTAAGTGATTTGTGGTAGTTCAATGCACTGACAACTGAAACATACACACAGATGCACAGCTCATTCATTCATTCCACTAATTCATTCATTCGCACACACGCACACACACACAGACACGCACACACACGCACAGACAGACACCCAAAAACATACACATGGTGACATAAATTGTACCAAATGAGATGCTCCGCCAGTCAGGTAGTTCAGTGTGGAAACCGATTTTTACAATACCGCCACCTGAAAGTATTCAAAGATGATCCAGTACTTTGCTTCTTCCCTAGCGGCAAACAAACGTGAGGTGATACGGGCGGGTTCCGGTGCCTTTAGCGTGCGGCATGCGGGCTGACATGCCCGGTGCGCCTGTACTGTACACGCCGTGCACCGCCGACCGTCACTGTCCGGCCTGCCCGGGTAACATAGCCGTGAGAAAACACGGGGGCGGGGTCGGTCGATACAAGGCTAGACTGTATCACTTTGCAGCTAGTGGTAGCCTCTAACAGGCTTCAGGAGCGGCTGGAAAGAGTAGAAGTTGGCGACATAGACAGATAACATAACAGATTCCGTAACAAGACTGCTGAAAGTTGCAGGACACATGCACGAATATCCCCCAAATGCCCTCAGTCTGCGATCTAACGACGATCGTGCGACAAACAATGTATGTGATCGGGCCTTTACTTGTCAGTTGTAAACGTTTTGACTGAAATCTTTAGACATTACAAACGTATCTGATTTAATACGTGATGCATTATTAGGTCATTATATAATGTATGTAATATGTGTTTGATATTCAGATATCGGTAGCAAGTAGTTTGAAAGACCAGTTTAACTAGGCATGTTCACAACTGACAAAAAAAGGAGGCAGCTGTCGGTAGCCTGGGTGCCAGACTGTTTGTAGGGCCCACATGTACACAGGCCAGTTCGTCGGCCCCAGGGCCAACACACAGCCCTGATCCACGCTGGCTAACTCTGGGCCTAGCGTGCTATGGGTCTGGCGTCGAGGCTACGTTTTGGGATGAGTCCAAGAAATCGTCCAGGACAACGCGGAGTTCTGTGGTTTCTGATCTGGAACACTGTTTAGTTAAACATCCCCTTCCCAATCAGATAGTGTAAGGGTCGCACAAGTCAGGTGTCTGTGTATTTCGTTTCTCCGACAGCAGTTGATAACAAACCGCGATAACGTTTAAAAGACGAGAACACGAACCGGGGCGGGGGAAAATGTTACAGAAGACGTCTTGTTACAGCCGCCTTGACCTTGAACTGACTTCGGAGGTTGAAACGGCGCCGACTCGAAGTGTTATTCCGGGGAATTGTTCCCCGCTTCCTGCGGCTCCGCTCGGAAAGGCGGCGGCGAAGCTGTGCCATCCGGCCCGGGCGCACCTTTCATTACTTGCCGGTTGATTGCATCCGTTTGTCGCCGACAATTGTTAATCCAGAACAGGTCTGGCAATTGGCAAGCCTCGCGTTTAATTGAGTCCATACACGTTGCTTTTTTTTCTTTTAAAAGCATCCAATTCATGCAATTTCAGGGCGGCGAAAGAAAAAAATATTCTGGACGGGGAAATCTGTCTGATATTGACATTTACTGGCACTTCTTGTCACACTTTCGTTATCATTTCACACTTGGAGCGATTGAAATAGCCCCAAAACAAGCTATGTAAGGAGTCCTTTTATTTTTGGTATTTGAATATTTATATACCCAGCTTAAGATACGAAATATGAAACCGTTTCCGTCAGTGACATCGCAATTTTGCCTCACAGATATCAGTATGCTTTTCGATAGGGTTGATTCAACTTACTACGTTAAAAACTGACAAGAAAATCCAGTTTCACTGCCCAGAAATCGCGTTGGGTCATTCTAAAACTACAACCAGACACAGTGCGCCTCTTGCAGCCAATTGTCCCTTTCCTCTGGAAATACTGTCGGACTAGTCAGGTGTTGATCAGACGCTACATCACACGGCCGGGGGGGGGGGAACTGTCGGCATTGACCTTAATTGTTCTCTGACGTCATGACCATGTACCGTTGTGTCACACACCGCAGGGCGTGTTGTTACAACACATAACATTGCGTGTTGTTACAGATGTGTACTGTTGTTGGTCATTGTTGGTGTTGATGTTGTAGCTTTAAAAATACCGATGTGTGTGTGTTTGTGTATGTTTCTCTTTCCCTCTCTCTCCCTTTTTCTCCGTGTCCCTCTCTCTCTCTCTCTCTCTCTCTCTCTCTCTCTGTGTGTGTGTGTGTGTGTGTGAGAGTGCGTATGTGTGTTTGTGTGTATGTTTGCGCGCGTGTGCGCGCGTGTGACTGTGTCACTCTGTGTGTTAGTACGTGTGCTGTCTGTGTGTGCGTGTGTACATATACATATGTGTGCGTGTGTGTGTGTGTCTGTGTGTGTGTGTGCATGGGGGGGGGCAAGCCGCTTTAACATTCAACAATGAAGACTGAAGCATTCAGTTGGAACAAAGCTGAGGATATTGTTGCGTCGGAATCGACCCATTTACCACAGTCCTGTTGTGTAGTACACACCTGTGCTGGCGGCGAATCAAAAAGTCTTTTGTTTCTTTCTACCTGGCATACCTTTCCAGCGTGTCACAATGGCCAGTACAGATCTAACCACCTACACTGTGTCCTAGTTTCCCTGTTTTTGTGTTATTTTGTGGGAATAGACAGAGCACAACGTTTACTCGGTGTCCGGCCCAGACCAGGGTGGGATGAGTAACTCGATACTAACATAACTCGTCCTAAGCCCTTTGTTTAAAGACGGTCTGGGACGTTTTGGTGCGTGTTGCTGTATGTTTATGTGATGGGCCAAAGTTTTTCTGGGCAGTCAACCGTCAGGTATATCATCATCGTCGTTAGGCCCCTGATTATTACCTTTAGATTTGGGGCTCCCTAGCGGCTTCATATGGTACTGCAGTGGAACGTCCGGTTTTGATATCTCATGATCTGGTTTGACAAAACAAAATCGTACGACCGACATGCCATGGCTGCTGACCATCTCGATGACAGACTTCCAGACCCTATATTCATCTATTTATTGAGATTTACCACATTTGTAGAAGGATTGAAATAACAGGTGACTATCACCTTTCCAAGATGTCAACCCTGAGACAGGACTGTACGGTTTGACCCACTCACGCAGGGAAGGACTCTTTCCGATTCGTGTGATGGGTTCTTCAACGTACTTGAGGTTTGGGTCTCCTCAAACATGGGACCTCCGGCTTTACGTACTATCCGAGAGAACGTCCCTATTAAACCGAAGCCGAGCACTAATTTTCAGATGAGTAGAGTGAGGACGCAGATGTCAAGTGCCTTTCCCAAGGGCACAACAGCGGGGCCTGCTAGCACCATTAGACCTATAAATGCTAGGAGCTTAGCGGACGGCTTTTACTCTTGTACTGTTGATGTCTGTTTCTCTGGGTTCTGAGCCAATACCCACAGGGTCTCGTTTTGTTTTGCGCATCGCATTTTCTGTATTCAATTACTGGAAACAACAATCAAAGTGCGGCCGCACACCGAGGGAATTTACTCCTGGCTCAGAACCATGTCATCCCGGGAAGAGGACAATCTAAACCAAACCTCCCCACCTGGAGCCCTGCCCGAGCCGCATACCTCAAAACCTGTCAAACATGGCCCGATATGAGCTCCCGATCACTGCCCAACCCCCCTTCTTACAACCATGCTTGAGAGTAAGTCGGGAACACGGTCGGCTGTGGGTGGCCGGTGTTCGGGAGTAGTTCAGCAGCGGTCGGGACATGATTTTACTCAAATTTTGCTCAAATTCGATTTGATTCAATTTTTAGTTCAGCTTTTGTTATTCTGTCAACATCATTTAAATAAACCCTTATTGCCACACACACAAACCAACACACACACGCACGCACGCACGCACGCACACACACACACACACACATCAGTATTTAGCTGATGTTTCCCGGACACAGAGACCAGTACCTGAACAGTCTGAACAGATCTGTGCTCTAACATACACAGACCTGACCAGGGGAACAACTCTGTGCTCTAACATACACAGACCTGACCAGGAGAATAGTTCTGTGCTCTAACATGCATACACAAACCAGGGGATTTAGCCCACTGACTGTTGTCCGTTGTTCTGACAGATACCAGCTGCTGACTGCGGTGTTCCTGTGCTGGGTGGGAGCGCTGACAACGGGACAGGATTACGACCACAATGTGAGTAAACTTACGCAAATACGGAACGTACTAATGCTCCATTTAGTAGAATTGGTCAAGGGATAGGTGAGGCGAAGTGTTTTGAGTGATTGGTATGTTTTTGACCCCTAGGCGAAGTACGAGGTTGCTATCACAACTTCACAGCGTTTAAGCAGGTATCTGCGACAACATATAGGTGCATTAGTAACAACTGGTGACATAAGTTGCCCGATTTTGGAAAATATAAGTTATTTCAATCGTTTGGTTACTCACTACGTTTGCCTACTCACTACTGCTTCATGGATAAGCTTATTAGAGGAGGCACCTGTACTGGCAACCTCATCTGCCCGGACAAACATACACACAAACCCACTGATAACCCACACAAAACAATACTTCCGCGCGTGCCCAGAATTAACGACAGAACCTCCGTTGGCAGGAGACCAACACAAATAGTTGGACACGTCGTTATTTCCTGTTTTTCCGCTTTTCGTCACCAAAAGGCGCCGACTGCACGACATCTGTGAACATAATTTGAAGGCTTTCAATCGCAGAGTTTACGCAAAGTACTATTGTACGCCGAACGAATGTCTAAAAATCAGAACAAGCTGTTACAACTCAAGCAAACGAGAAGCCGACTCAGAATTATAAGCTATAGCTAACCACATGTACATCCGATATTTCTCAAGTACAATTTATGTAGTATGTGACGTTACAAGTAATAAATGCATCTCTGGAAGGACACTGTGGCCTTGCGCCGTACGCTAGATATTCAAATAGCATCTAAATCGTTTTAGACAGATCTTGTACAAATCTAAACGCATGCATTTGTGCCTTTAACTCAACAATCGTACCTCTTGATATTGTGTACACCTGTGGGTAACGGCGCCCAGAAATGTTATATTTGTTACATAGGAAGACATATATTAGTCTATCTAGTTTTCTTGTTTCTTCATCCCTCCGTCCTAGCCCATCAACCCCCCACCGGTACAGACAAAGTGGTCTGGATTCCGCTGCTGGTTTAGTACTAAGTACTCCCAGCGTGTTGAACTTGACTCCTACAAAGATAGTCTGACACATCTGGTACAAGAGACAAAAATACCTCACTTAGATTACCGTGGGACCGCGAACACGATAGAGACTGCGAACCGCTGTTTGTCATGCATGGGGGCGTCCAGACCTATCGCACGGCGACCTCGGAACTCGAGGCGCAGTTGAGTCAGGTCGTGTCAAGTGATCTTACGTGCTGGATGGCACTTCTCACGAGTTCCTCAGCGGCAATGAAGACGGGATCCTCGCTGGTTTAAGAGCTAGAGACGATAAAAGGGTACGGTCACACGTGTGCAGAGTGTTGGGAGTGAAGTTCACTTCTGTGGCATCACTGACTGAATGACCTTTGAGAGACGCTTGCTTTTCCTGTTAGCTTCTACCAGGCTTCAGAGGTGGCTGCAAAGAGTAGAAATTGACCACTGAACACAAATATAACATGCCAGAGGAGTTGGTCCGCTAAGTACAGTTAGTCGCCCAGAAAGCTGTATTAAATAGCGTACTAACTCCCCTGGGATGTTATCAGTCTGTGTGGCCAATATCTACTATTTCCAGCCACCTCTGAAGCCTGGTCGATGCTATTACCTGGTACAGTGTTACGGATTGCTGTGTTTGTTGCTTGTTTGAAGTACACCAAATGGCGGGTAGCGAGCGCTTGCCGAGGCCCTGACCGCCGCGCGTGTGGCCCCGGGTCGAGTGATCGGGACTGCGGGAGACTTTGGTAAGCACGTTCGGGTCACGGAGAGCACGCCGCGGGAAGGAAAAAACGGTCGCAGCGACGCCGAACCGAGATTCTTATCTACAGGGTCATGATCAGGTGTAGTCTGGGTGGGCAGACCATGGTGGGTATCCCCTGTATAGCCTCTTCCAGGCTCCAGAGGCAGCTGAAAGAGTAGATAGGTTGACAGGTGTTGACGGAAGGTTCGTCCATGGTTGGCTGGTGGTGCTCGGAAGTAGGTCCTGGGCGTGGTTGGCAGTGAAATTTGACTCAAGTTTGACTCAAATTCGATTCGATTCGTGTATAACGATAGGCATGGTCAGACTGCGCCGCACCCGAATTTCAGCGTGACGCTTGGTACCATGGTGCTCGGAGGGAAGGTTCTGAATGTGTGACAGAAGTTTTAAGGCCAAGGCGCTTCCAAGTCGGCCCGTAGAGAATGGCCGCCACGCTAGGTCACGTTGGAAAGAACCTTTCCATACGGCTCGAGTTAGCCCCTCTCCCCGAGAACAAGACGTCCGCCGCTGGGTTCATCCGGACACGCCGCGGTCCGCATCCAATAGATTCGCCTCGACAGAAGACGACACGCGACCTTCCAGAAGTCAAGTTTTTTTACGAAAGACCATAGCCACAGTGATATCGCTCAGTGATCTCATTGGTGCCACAAACTGTGGACAGTCCCTTCTTTTCTCGTATCATTAGCTTGTTCCTGTGTTACGCGCAGAGAGCGAAAGCGGAAAGCGAAGCGTGGCCTCTAAGTAACACACGTTTCTAGTTTTGGGCCTTCGTATGTTTAATGCTCAGAAAATCAGGTCTGATGATACCATATCCATCATCATCTTCAAAACTACCCTCTACCAGGCTTCAGAAGTGGCTGGAAAGACTAGGAATTGGCCAAACAGACAGATAACATGCCCGGGGGATTGGTCTGTTGAAAGAGTATAGTTTGCTGCTCCAGCGGACCAACCCCCTTGGCAGGTTATCTGTCTGTTTGGCCAATTGTCTTTCCAGTCGCTTCTGAAGCCTGGTACGTAGAGGCAAGGGATGAACGTCAGCCTGTGGGTCCCGACAATCGCTGAAAAGCCAATCGGAAGATTTTTGTTCAATAAAGCTAGGCCGGAAGAAGGGTGGGGTTGCAGTAAGGATTGTGTTTATCCTAGAAGTGAAATTTGGCGATGTTTGGGCGCGCTGGTATTTCCAGTTCGTTTACTCGGAGGATTTCTGCCGTTTATTTGTTCTGACACGCGCTACCCAAATATTTATGGCGCCCTTTCCGTCCGCGGTAAGGGTTCAGTTTTAACTGGGGTCGCGGACAGGAGTGTTGTGTCAGACCACATTGGCGAGTTAGCCTCCAACAGGCCTTCCTACAGGGGTACGGATCGTAGAATTCGGCAAAAAAGGAAGAATAATTGGCCAGGAGTGTTAGTCCGCAGGAAGGTCAATTTGTTAACTTGTGTTGCCTTTTAAATCATACCCTTGTATCATGCGTAATATGGCAATTGTAAAATCAAGGGTCCAAGGGTCAACCGAATCCAATTTTGGTCGCTCAACGGTCGCTCAGACATCGCTGTCGAGTGGAAAGGGCGGCATATTTTGACATGTTTTAAGTTTACTTTTTTGTATCTTTCTTACGCCACCCAAACGGATGGCAAATGGTAACTGTATCTGGCGCATACATACTGCCTGGCCAATTCGATACTATTTTCCCTATTTGATACTGTCTTCCCTATTTGATACAGTCTTGAAGCCACACAAAGATCTGCTTGGAGATTAGGCGTTAAGCACACAACTCATTCTGACCTCCGTTGACCACTGTCCACCCGACCGGACCTAAATATTTAGACAGTCCCTCCATCAAAGGTCCTGAACTGAACCATATGGAGACCAGAGGCTCACGCCGTGTCCGGTCTGAACTTGAGTCAGACGACTTGACCCGTGCAGGTCCTGCTGTGGTTGAACTACTAGTATCCCTTCAGTGCTTGTCGCGCGGACGCGTCACGTTAACAGGTGTCCGTGAGGCGTGGTGCCCTCCTGGTCTCCACCGGGCTAACGAGAAATCGGAGATGTCAGACCTCCAGGAAGTATGTGATCCTCGGCTTCCATGTGACCCCCTGCTAGCTGTCCTGATGTTTGAAAAATTGCTTCAGCTACTCTCCAAGCAGAGGTTTTAGGCTTTGGCTTATTTGCGACGTGTTTTCTTGCGCTTTCGCTCTTGTACTAGTATCTATTCTTTTACGCCAGTCAGCTTCCAATTTGATATTGTCTTGCCAATGCGATACTGTCTTGCAGCTCTCAAAAGATCTGCTTGGAGATTATGCTTCAACCCCCTCTGTCCAGATACTTTCCAAACGTCTGTATCTGTATCTGTATAGCCGGTATAACCGCCTTTCGGCGTAACACACCAGCTAACCCACGTCAGGTGGGATATCATCGCCCCCCCCCCCCATGTATTTTGTCGGAACGGCCCAAGCAAGTCCCAGCACCGCCGTTGAGAATCGCTCAGGAACAGGAGACGCTGATGAATCCAGAACCGTGCTTTATCCAGAACTACTGTAATCCAGAACCACGCTCAGGCACGGTTCTGGATAGCCCATGCGTATTCAGAACCGTGTTCGGGTCAAATCTACGTTCTTGGATATCCAGAGACGACTACTAGTATCCAGAACCATGCCTGACCCTTATAACCCTTTCAGGCAAAGCACTAGATAGGCACGGTTCTGGATACAGTAGGCGTAAACGTGCGGTCTGCGTGAGTTCTCGATGCCGCGCATTTCTCAGCAGATAGCGTTACTCTTATTTTAGTCCCGGAGTGTTTACGAGTTTTACTGGCGCCGTTCTCGGGTTTATGCGCCCGTTTTTAGTCCGTTGAAACCTTGTAAATCCACACCACCCACTTCATCACTTCCCTCCTCTCTTTTGCGTACTATGTTTTACCTTCGTACAAATGGAGGTATTGTTTTAGGTTGGTTTCGTTATGTGTGCGTGAGTGTGTGTTTGCTTGTGTTCTCGTTGGTGGGAAGAATATATTGCCTAACTGCAGACCACAAAAAAAGGTCAGACACAGGATGTTAATTAGGTCCCAGAAGCTGCTGACTTGAAGCCAAAGTTGTCTCATTTTTTTTTGCATCTTGCATCACTTCTCATTGATGAAATCAAGAGTCACACGATTTAAACGATCGTTCTACTCTAAAAGCAGGTTTAGGCTCCGACTAATTTTAGACATGTTTTAAGCATTTTTATCGTGCTTTCTTTTTTG